ATTTCATTGCATATACACATACAGCCAAAATTTGCACAAAGAACTACCAGAGAAGGACCAGTGAGTGCTTGGTGCAGCAGTTAGGTCATCTATATTCCATACCAGAATTTGCCTGGTTCAAGTCCCACCTACTGCGCTTTGGATTCAGCTTCCTTCAGTATACACCAGGGAGGCGGGAGATGGCGGCTTAGGGGCCTGAATCCCTGCCATCTGTGTGGAGATGAATCTTCCAACTCCTGGCTTCAGCCTAGCCAAGGCCCTAGGTGTTAGGTATTTTTTGCAAATGTGCCAGGGAATGGAAGACTCCTGTGTTTGCCTCTCTTTAAAAACAAAACAAACAAAAAACAGAATTGCAAGAGAATGATTTAAAGACCAAATCCAGATTCACAGCTAACTCAGTTTTGAAGGGGGAATAGACAGCGTGTAGCACCAGGACGGTGGATTAGAAAGACGTATGCTGGAAGTGACAATGCCATTTGTAATTTTTTGCTCCTTAAAAATATCTGAAGCAGGCCAATTACAATGGCTCAAATTGACTAATCCTCCTCCAAGAGCCAAGATCCTCTTTCGGCAATTAGTGTCCCCGTTGCTCCATTTCCCATCCAGCTCCCTGCTTGTGGCCTGGGAAACCAGTGCAGGACAGCCCAAAGCCTTGGGCTCCTGCACCCAACTGTGAGATCTGGAGGAAGCTCCTGGCTCCTGGCTTCGGATCAGCTTAGCTTTGGCTGTTGCAGCCATTTAGGGAATGAACCAGCAGATGTAAGATTTTTCTGTCTATCCTTTCTGTAAGATCTGACTTTCCAATAAAATTGAGTGAATATTCAAAAAAAGAAAAAGAAAGAAAAAGAAAAGAAAAGGAAAGAAAGAAAGAAAAGAAAAAGAAGACACCGAAGCAGACACACCGAGCTGGGACTGACAGCTGCCACAGTCAGTGGTCTTGCTGCACAGCTTAACAACACATTGCACTAACTGTACCTACAGACCATGGCAACCTTTCCCTGCTGCTCAGGTCTTACCCTACCGCTCTGTACTTCAGAGAAAATGAAAGAATAATTTTGATTTCGTCAAAAAAAAAAAAATCTTCTAGGGCCTGGCACAAAGGCTAAACGGCTAAATCAAGCATTAGGATCCCATATAGGCACTGGCTTGTGTCCCAGCTCCTCCACTTCCCATCCAGCTCCCTGCCTGTGGCCTGGGAAAGCAGTGGAGGACGGCTCAAGGCCTTGGGACCCTGCACCCGCGTCGGAGACCCAAGAGAAGCTCCTGGCTCCTGGCTTCGGATCGGTGCAGCTCCAGCTGTTGCAGCCGTTTGGGGAGTGAACCAGTGGATGGAAGATCTCTACCTCTCCTTCTATCAATAAATCTGATCTGCCTTTCCAATAATAATAAGTATATATATATATATATATATATATATTTAAACCTTCTAAAGTTAATATTGGCGACCAAATGTAAAGAGGCTATCTTGAGGCCAGTGCTATGGCCTGGTAAGTCAGCCTCTGCATGCAGTGGCAGCAGCCCACATTGGCTCTGGTTTGTGTTCCAGTTGCTGTTCCACTTCTAATTCAACTCCCTGTTAATGTGCCTGGCAAAGCAGCAAAAGCTGGCTCAAGTCTTGGGGCCTTTGTACCGACATGGGAGACCTGGAAGAAGCTCCAGACTCCTGGCTTTGGATCAGCCCAGTTCTGGCAAGTGCCGCCACTTGGGAAGTGAACCAGCATCTCTGCACAGATCTGCCTTTCAATGAAAAATAAATACATCTTCAAAAGCAGCAGTCACAGCAGTTACCTTGGTTCTAAACCTACTGACTTCATTCTGTCACTCCTGCACGTGCCCCTAGGAAGCACAGTCTAGGTGCTTCCTGGGCCACAGAGGAAGTCGCATTTCTGAAGGGCAGCATGCTGTGTCAATGGTTAGCATGGTGCACACCCCCTCTACCTAGTCCCGAATGCGGGCTGAAGGAGAGCACAAAGCTAGGGCGGCTAGCCACAGCTCCCTGCTGCCTCCCGCACAGCCCTGCACAGCCCCTGCTCGGTGGGCTCTCACCCCCTGCCCAGAAGCCCACAGACCGCTCAGTCCAAAGCAGAAACTGCACCTTCCCATGAGCTCACTGCAGCATTTCCTTCAGAGCCTTCAGCTCCTTCTAAAATGATCTTACTTGACCATCTGTACCCCTCCCTCCAAAGTGGGCTGGCAGTGTCTTCAGGAGCAAATGCTTTCTTGCCTTGCTCACAGTAACTACACTATGCAGAGAGCACAGCCTCGCTGGACCTCCACTTCCACACAGGCCACCTGTTGTGCTGACCTCCGCCCTAGGATGGTGCCCTCTGCCCTAGGACAGTCCAGGGGTCGGCAAAGCCTTGTCCCAAGGCACCCCTTCCCTCACAGGGAAGAGGCCGACCTGGATTCACTGTGTTAGGCTGCCCTCTTCTGGGAAGCATAAGAATTTCACAAAATACACCGTACAAACATCTCATTGTTTGCCACAGGTTCTCATTTTAAAATCCACCACCCGAGAAGCACACAGTGGATAATAACTGACATTGATAATAGTATACTCTGCGTTGTAGCTGTCTGCTCACTCCTGACTGCACCGACCATTTTAAAAACCTAGGACTCTGACTTGATTTCATGTCCAGCTTTTCCTAAATCTTTTCTAATTCAAGAATATTCCTTATGTAACACAAGACTCATTCAGGAATGCTTTACAGGCAGTCTTCTCATCATGATGCTAAAACAAATGTGAATAAAAGAGAATGACATAAAATACAGCTCAGCTTTAAGTCATTTAGTAGATCAGAATATAAAACCTTAAACTGGATTAAGCCGACCCAGGACTGCCGGTAGCCTCAGACATTTGCCAAACGCAAGCAAAAACCCTCTCGAGACACACAACATTATCCTAGACCCAAAATTATTTCTACAAATAATTTTTCAAATACACTCTGCAGTATTCATTCAAATGTAATCAGCACATGAACAGAACAGCCAACATAAACAAGAGCGGGCACCATGTTACTGCTACTGGCACTTCAAGGAATGACCACGTGGCAATTCTGGCAAGAGCAATCATGGTTGCTTCACCTATGGTGATTAAACTTTTCTTAGCAACTCAACAAGAAGTTGCTAACAGTGTAAATTTGGGGGAAATTACAGTATAATTTCAAAATTGGGGAGGGAAGTGAGACAATCAACAACGATCCAAGTCAGTAAGTCAATGGATAGATTTCAAAGCTGCAGAGAATGACTGAGCTGGAAAACGGTCCAAAGACACTGCATGGAACAGAGGGGACAGAGCGGACAGATGTGGCGTGGCACGTGAGCCTGCCACCTGCACAACCTCATCCAATAGCAGAGTGCCCATGAGCAAGTCCCACCTCCAATTCTGGTCCAGCTTCCTGCTAATGAGCCTGGGAGGTAGTCCGTACTGGCCCAAGAACTTGAGTTCCTACCACCTGCGTAGGACAGCTGGATGGAGTTCGTGGCTCCGTGCTTCAGCCTGGACCATCCCCAGCTGTTGCGGTCTTTTGGGGAGTGAACCAACGGATGGAAGGTCTCTTTGTGGGTCTCTCCCTCTCTCTCTGTCACTCTGCCTTTCAAATAAATAAATAAATAAATAAATAAATAAATAAATAAATATTTTCAAAAAAAGGACAAGAGGGTGGCGCATACACATTCAGCTGGAGTCGCTGAAGAAAAAAGAATAGAGCAGTAGCAAAGGCTGAATCAAAACCTAATGACAGATTTCCCAGAATTAATCAAAGACATCAATCCAAGATTCAAGATATCCAGAGAATCCTAAACAGAACAAACAAGAAATCAGAGCCACATGTTTCACAAATACTAATGCTAAGACAGGAGCCCAGCAGCTGCGGGGAGTGCCCTGTGTGGCAGACCGACGCCGTAGGATCAGCAGGCAGAGCCGACCCACCGAATGTACGACAGCAACAAAGGAACCCTGAGACCGTGTTCCCATGCCTTTAGCAAAAAAAAAAGAAACCACCACCAATCTGGAATTCCACAGCCAGTGAGAACATCCTTCAAGGCTGAAGCTAAACAAACATTCCCAGAAGAGCTAAACCAGAATTTGCTCCTAACAGATTCACACTAAATGGAATCTTTAAAAAAAAAAATATTTATATGAAAGGGGAGAGGATGGGAGAGAGATGGTTCACTCCCCAAATTCCTGCAACAGCTTGGGCTGGGGAGGCCAAAGCCAGGAGCCAGGAGCTCCACCTGGGTCTTCCCTGTGGCTGGAAAGACCCAAGCACTTGAGTCATGACTTGCGGCTCCCAGGTGTGTTGGGAAGAAGCTAGGGCCCAAGCAGAGCAGTCAGGACTTGAACCAGCACTCAATATGGGATGCAGACATCCCAACCAAGGATGTGGCAGCTTAGTCACTGCATCACAAGGCCTACCCCAAAGGAAAAACTGGGTCAGAACGTAACTAGATGGGAGGCTAATTAAATATAAAGGAAACATAATGTCTCATAAGGGTTAATACAGGTAGAGAATGAATACACAGGTCAGGAACAGGAGAACGAAATTCAAGTGTTTTCAGAAATTTGCCAAACATAAGACTTTGATTAATGTCTTTTATAATTTCTGGCAGTTCTAAACAGTAAGTGTTGTTAGCACCCAAAATAATGAGAAAAATATGAAACTATTAAAGGTCTTCAATTATTCCAAAAGAATATACAAAGGAAATGCAGACTGAATAGCATGAAGGAAAGCACATAGTGAGGTTAGCAAATTCAAATGTTATCAGCTGTTAATGTAAATAGAACAAATACCACATTTAAAAGTTAAGACAGAAAGGCTGTATAAAAAAATATCAAGGTCGTAATGTTAATAGGAAATGATTCCAGAACGTAAAGCTCAGCAAGACTTCGAACAAACAAAACGTGAAGAGGAGACGTGAGAGCACCTGAGGCCTGGACTCCAGCCGACATGCACGGCACCACAGTCAGAAAACAAGAAGGGCTGCTAACACAACCCTACCTGCCGCAGCCAGGTGGGCCGTGACCTCATCAGCAGCTGTGGAGTTGAGTATGTCTGAGTCATCGTAAGAGGTGTCCTCGGGGGAAGAAGGCGAGTCCTCGTCAGCACTCAGCATGCTGTGCTCAGTGTAAGTGGCCACGTGCACCTGCTGAACTTGCTGAGCCACTGCGTGCGCTTCTATAGTCGCCATGTGTTCAGTCTGGGTCACTCCGTGCTCCTCCATGAAGATCTACCAACAGAAAAGCATGAGAGGATCAGGAGTTGGTGCACACGGAACAGCGTGCATCCGCTGGGAAGACAACCTTCAGCAAGCCTCTAACGCCACTACTCACCTCACCACTAAGGCATGGCAAACAGAAAAAATATCAATTAAATATGAAACAGAAACGATGGAATAATTTCCTCATGTGAAGCCACTTTGATGGAAATTCACTGAACTAAATTTTATGCTCCAGGATACAAAACAAATACTCCTAATAACAATAAAAATGTTCAACTATAATGAAAAAAGTCTTTTAAGATTTATTTATATTTTTCATTGAAAAGTCAGATCTATAGAACAAAGGAGAGACAGAGAGAAATATTTTCCATCCGCTGATTCACGCCTCAAGCCAGGAGCTCTTCCAGGTCTCCCGCGTGGGTGCAGGGTCCCAAGGCTTTGGGCCGTCCTCAACTGCTTTCCCAGGCCACAAGCGGAAAGCAGGATGGGAAATGGAGGAGCCAGGATTAGAACTGGCACCTATATGGGATCCTGTTGCGTGCAAGGTGAGGACTTTAGCCACCTGGCTACCGACCCAGGCCCTTAAAAATTCTTAAACTATTTTGTAATGAATACTTGATTGTGTGCAGACATAAAGCACTTAATGGGGACAGTGGATCCGTGCAGTGGCAGCACCCTGTGAGTGCTAGTTTGAGTCCCGGCTCCTCCACTGCCTCAGCTCCCTGCTTGTGGCCTAGGAAAGCAGCTGAGGACGGTCCAAGCACTGGGGTCCCTGCACCCACATTCGCTTGGAAGACCCAGATCAAGTTCCTGGTTCCTGGCTTCAGCCTGGCTGGCCTTTGTGGTCATGTGGGGAGTGAACCAGCGGATGGAAGAACTCTCTGTCTCTCTCTAAGCTCTGCCTTTCAAATAAATAGATAAATCTTAAAAAACAAAACGAAAAATACCTAACAGGGGCAGACACAGTGCTGCACCAGGTTAAGCCCTGTGTGTGATGTCTGCATCCACCCAGCAGCGGTTTGCCAGGGCTCAAATCTTCCCTCTGCTTCCAGCAGAGCTTCCTGCTAACGGGCCTGGCAAGCAGACAATGGCAGCTGTCGCACAGGCTCCGGCGTGGGGCCAGCGGCAGCTCCCTCACACCTGGGAGGCGCGGTGCTCAGCTGTAGGACCTGCCGCCCACAAGGCAGAGGCAGGTGGATTAGATGGACTTCCTGTGCATCCTTTTTTGCATCAGCTCAACTGAAAGTGACAAAATTCTTATTTTTCACAGGCCCCTGACCCTGTCTGATATGTCCCTGCTGTCCCTGAGCTTGATTCTAACACCCAACCACCTATCTTCACGCTCACACCCATCACACATATCAACACACCCTTTCAACCCAGTGAGTCTTCACGTTGGGATCAATCTATTAGCTCAAAGAATAGTCTATTTCAAAATAAAATTGCTTTTAATTATACTTATGAAACAGTGTAGGATTCAAAAGGACCAGGAATCACCAAGCCATCATTTATGCCAGGGGCCATTCCCAGCCCTTGACCCCATGTGACAGATACTCTTGCAAACCCATACTTACCTTTCTCTGCACGGACCTTTGCAAGAAGCAACTGGCAAAATAATACACATTCAACTGAGAAAAGCATAAAGAATATAAAGGAAAATGTTAGCATTTGGAAAATCTGGGAAAAAGCATGTGTGAACTCTTTGTACTATATTTATGGCTTTTTTGAAAGTCTGAAATTATGGCAACAGATTTAAAAACCTTTTCAAGATAAATGCCAGATGAGCCACCCTAGCGCTTCTTCCATATCCCATGTTTGGTGTGAGCTTCAGAGTAGTTGGGGAACATATCCTAGCCTCCAGATTTGTATCCCAAACTCAATTTAATACACTAAGCCACTAAACTAAATACATGAGAGGAAGACATCATTAAAGTGCTACATTGCCATCCATTTCACTCTTTTTCAAACCTCAAACACAAAATGCTTTAGGATAATTTAGAATTCTGTTCAAAACTGTTTCTAAATGACTTGGGATTACATGGCATCTAATGCTTTTCACGGGGATTTGTACGCTGTGCATTTGGCATAATGGATTCCAACTCTTCCCTCCAGAACAGAGTTTACAGCGTCAGTCAACAGGGCTGTCGCCTCACAGGCCTGGGACTTCAGCCTAGTCCTGTCTCTTCCCTCCTCCTCCGCTCCCCTGCAGCCTCTAACCGTGCCCAGGCAGCACTGTGAACAAAGAAAAAAGGAACGAAGGAAGGAAGGAAAAGAAAGCTGAAGGCATTTCCTCCTCCTTTGAACCGTGAAGTTTTCTTCCACAAACTGCAGAGGAAGTCAGGTGTGCTGACACCCACCTGCTGCCAGAGCACATCACACCCCTGTCAGTGTCAGTGCAACAACTCGGCTCCCACCCATGGATGCGCTGGGCAGCCAGACAGGAGCTGCTAAGAAGTGAAAACAGATAAACTGTACTTTAAATAACTGCACAGGTTATTACCCACAGAGGCAGACCCCTGAGCAAGTGACTTAACCCTGAGCCACACGCCTGTGTGTGAGCATAGCGGGAGGGGCCGCGGCCGGCGCAGGCTTTAGGCTCTCCTGACTCACTGCCTGGCTAGCCCCACAGCCCTGAGCTTCAAATTCTTAATCCACAAATAAGACACTCTGAGGACAGAGTTGTCTGAATTGTGTGCAAGAGATGTGTATTAAAAATCCCTAAATTACAGCAACTGAAAGACGGCTCTCCTGAACACAGCAAGGAAGCTACAGGCAGTGGATGCTTCCACATTATCCTCAGGCAGAACACACCCCGAGCTGGCAGGACAAACTCGGAGGGAAGCACTGACAGAACCACCCCGTGCCTCTCAGCAGCCCCACGGCGGCAGCACACACAGACCATTCCCACGCGGTGCCACGCCAGCATCGCAGTACGATCTCTTGGTAGCCTGGCTACCACCTTGGGTGCATTACATGTTTTCTCCACAAACAGAAAATGAGCATAGGATAGGAACACATCCATTCCAGGCTGGTAAGAGTGGGACTGGTGGCCAGGGAGAGGCTTCGTGGCCCCCAGAGCAGCCCACTACCTGGGGAAATACCTAGAGGGCAATGAGAAGTCACGGACACAAGGGATGAGATGAAGCAGAAACTACCATACAGGTCACAGGCGGGAGGGATCAGGGAATCTAATCAAAGTATGAGTAGATGTAAAAGAAAGCATTAGCCTAATCAATAACATTAGCACATCAAAGAAAACCCTCAGAAAGGCCTAAGGACATCTCAGCTGGAGCTGGCGTCTCAGGCCCAGACCGCCTCCCAGTATCCTGAGCGGAAGCTGCACAACTGCACCCCCAAAAAGCTTGAAGGCAACCAGCCTCACCCGACGCCGGGAATCATGATACTGCAGTACTCGGGGGACAACGACAAGGAAAGTCTCTGCAGTGCCGATGCAATCTTCTTCCCTGAATGTTGTCAACCCACCGTTGCTTGACTCCATGAACGCAGAGTACTCCCGGGCTGCAGCAACCGGACTTGCCTGGCAGCTTCCGGTTAGGTTTCTGTAACAGGCCAGGGGGTGTGACGAGGATTTGTGACCTTGTTTCACTCCTAAGTGCACAGGATCATACAGCAGTGAGGGGCTCTCGTGTGGGTGCATCGCACATCCCGGCTGCTCCACTTCCCATCCAGCTCCCTGCCTGTGGCCTGGGAAAGCAGCAGAGGATGGCCCAAGGCTTTGGGACCCTGCATCCCTGTGGGGGACCTGGAAGAGGCTCCAGCCTCCTGGCTTCAGATTAGCTAAGCTCCAGCCATTGCAGCCATTTGGGGAGTAAACCAGTGGACGGAAAAGCGCATGCACTCTTCTGCTTTCTCTCTGTAACTTTAGACTTTCAAGTATGGAAGGTTAAATGCAGCACAACGGGTTTTAGTCACACCAAAGACCCTGGTTTTTTTCCCCTGAAGATGGTCAGAACCACATTCTCCTTTTAGAAAAAGGCTATGTCTATGTACATATATGTGCAGCTTTTTCTGAAATTTCAATGACCTTGAATTCAAGCAACAAGATTACTTCATGAGGTTAGTGTTATAACAAGGCTGAAACAGTAGAGGGTGCCAATACCAAAAACATAAAAACTGCGAAGCCCACAGGTGGCATAACATTCTGCACCCAAGCATCCGTCCAAAGAAGAGTCAACAGAATCTATTTCAGCAAACACTTTAAAGTCAGTCACCTCTTACGGGCTCCAGGTCGGTGCCAGCTGACATAAGGCCCTAAACTACAGTCACTAGGCACACATAACACCTGATCGCACTGAGATGTGGTTATGTTTTGATCTTTATTTTAAAGGGAGTGGGACATTTATTTATTTTTATTAGAAAACGCAGACTAACAGAGAGGAGAGACAGACAGAAAGATCTTCCATCCACTGGTTCATTGTCCAAGCAGCCGTAACAGGCTGGAGCAGAGCTGGTCTGGAGCCAGGAGCCAGGAGCCAGGAGCCTCTTCTGGGTCTCCCATGTGGGTGCAGGGTCCCAAGGCTTTGGGCCATCCTCCACTGCTGGACGGGAAGTGGAGCAGCCGGGGCATAAACTGGTGGCCACATAGGATGTGTTCGCTTGAAGCTGGAGGATTAGCCTGTTGAGCTACAACATCAACCTCCACCAGACACTTTACAGTAACTCAGTCTGCCAAATACGAAGCTACTGCTGGCCCGCCTTCCAGGGCGCACACACCCCATCCCCGTTCACAACAACTTGTGGTGTACAAGCAGTTAAAGGTAGCACAGTGGTGTGAGTGGACCAGACACCTTGTCTATGTCGGTGACAATAATTAAAACAGGCAACCTTTACATGCTTACTGGCAGCCTCAAATATGTACAGATACCTATTTTAATTTTAAGTGAATATAAAGCAGGTGAGTTGCTGAACTATCCCTGGGTTAGAAGCGTGGTAGACAGGAAGGTCAGCACGGCCAAGCCTTTGCGAGCAGATCAGCATGCAGCTGGCAA